ATTGCCTGGGATCGTGACAGAGTTGTGCTGGTTCTTCAAACACCTGGTCTCCGCGAACAATTTCTCGCTGAGCTCGAAGCACGACTTGCGCGTGTACACCACTCGCTTCTAGGGTATATTGAAGCCTCGCAGATCGAACAAGGATTTGCTACCTTCCGCTTTGTGTTCCCTGTCGCTGAGAAGTACTTCTCTCGTTGCAGCGGTTTGGATGAGGATACCAGAAACCTTCGACGTGCAGTCCGTGAACTGGTTTCACTGCGTGGTAAGCTTCGGGCGGTCGCTGCTCCTCATGCTCATCACGATTCTCAGACTCGCAACCCCAGCGCTATCCTCAAGGGCAAGGTTCGCAGATGGCGCCGTGCACCCCGTCGCAAGTGGACCCAGCAGCTTCATGATGCTTGGAGACATCTTCGACTTGCCGATGTTCAGACCCTTTCTCGCAAGCATGCTGGTACGGTGTTGGCCCCAAGCGCAGACGATACAATGCGGTTCGCAAGCGCGCGCCGTCTACCTCGGAATTGGTGCAGATGTTGCAGAAACCTGGCGCACAGGGAGGTTTGGGTGCTCAATCTGTCGATATTGCTACCTCTGAAGCTCAGCGCGCTGCTCTCCCACCTGTTGGCCTTAGTAACCATGACACTGCAGAAACTCCTGGTGGGAAGGACCTTACACGTGCTATCGCATGTCTTTTAAAGAGCTGCTCGTCGACGTGCTGCACCTGCTTGGAGTATGCCTGGTGAGATATGGCTGATGATTTCGCGTCCTTGGCATTATTCACAGAAGAAGAAGTCTATGGCTGGCGTGGGCTGCACTATCGAGCCCCCTGATACGCCTACTATATCTCCCACCATGCGGGCCCTGGCCACCTGCTGGAGAATGCGTGGGGGGGTTCCTCCTTGCGCCGGCTACAGCAACGTCTGGCAAACGCCAAAGCCCGACGGTGCCACGCGATATCCTCATGGGCTGCGCCCCTTCTTTCGAGCTGTTTGCCGCGGCCTCTACAAGAGCGTTCCGTTCGGACCTGCTCGCCGTGCTGATCATGGATGCGCGCCCCGTCGTCGACGTGAAAATTCTATTCTCGCTGTGCACGCCACGGCATGGCGATTTCGAGCTGTTAAATTTCGTCGCGTCGCTGTTCTGGAGGGCATGACCAATGCATGCGGATGTTGTGACCATTCCCGACTCAACGAAGTGTTACATGAATATCTGCCCGATGCAGACGCTTCTCTTCTAGCAGATCGTCGTTCCACGTGCGTTCTTCACCTTGATGCTGCTGACGGCCCACTACATCTTGAGCTCACTACTGGCGCGCTCGCTGGTGAGACGTCGGCACCCGACGAGTTCCGCATGGACTTCGCGAAGCTTGTGAACACTTGGCGTTGCCGCTCGCGCCATCTTGCGCTGCATGCGGAGTGCCCGTTATTTGATGAACGTGCTAATGCGTCCCTTGCCAAGTACGTGGACGATCTGTTCTATTCTCTTCTACTGCAACCTGGTAAGCTCGCCGAAGCTGCACGACAAGTTACTTTTGAACCAGCCACTGCAACGGAGGTTTTGGACATGCACGGGTACAAGCATATTCTCAAGAAGCAAGTGCTCGTGCCCTGGCTCTATGGATATCAGGATAATCGTTTTTTTTATACAGTGCTCATGTGGGAGGTGCTAAGGTCTTGCCGCACGCGCGCTACCATGGTCCCTTCTTTATGCCCACTGGTGCTCTGGCCCCGCAGGTAGCGATTGCCGAGAGTGCTGCTGCGCGTGGTTGGATGGCTTTTCAACATCTTTGGAGCAGTCGTGAGCCGTGGAAGGTAAACAGATTCATCTTTGCGTCCTTTGTCCAGGGTGCCTTATTGTCATGGCTGACGCCTTTCATCCTGTCCCCTGCGCAAGACAATGAACTTGATTCTGCGCTGTTGCGAAAGATAAGGTCGATTGCTCGAGGAGACGCCTGTGATTCGTCTGGCCCCTGGACGAGCCGTCGCACGATTTAGCCCCCGTTCGATATGAGCTCCTGGTCCAGAGGCTTCGGTGGAATCAGAATATGGTTCGCTTTCCTGAAGACCACGTTCGGGTCCTCGCGACTCTTGTCGGCAAGTACGAGTTCGATTCCCACCGCGCCCTTGTTGACGCATGCGCGACGCCGACTGCTAACCCTTTTGCTAGACGGTTTGTTGCCGATGTTTCTTGCCTAGCTGCCTTTACTGACATGGGTGACTGGCACGAGCATTGGGAGCGATATATTGTGAAACTTTTTGAAGACGGCGATGTTCGACACCGGTTCTTGAACGCTGATGTCTCGGTTATTCGGGAATTTTGGAAGCTTGGGGGGGCGGGGGGCGCGATTGACCTGGGGCCGATGCCAAGCGAGGAGGAAGTCGCGGGTGGGGCGATGCTGCTTTACGATTTCGGCGCACACAGCTGACTGATGAAGGTTGTATTTGTGGGGCCTCTTTTTCGCCGCGCAAAGCATTAACTATGCGCGACACGTTTACCAAATGTGGTGCCCGCGGTAAGACGTCGAACCTGCTCAAGTGCGCCGTGACCAATCAGTGCCCGTGCTGCTTACAAACGTTCGCCTTTCGTCGGTCTGCTAAATCCCACGGTCGTGCTGCATATCGTGCTGGTACTTGCAGTGCTAGCTCTGCCCACGCGACGCACCTCGTCGTCGCCGTGCCGCTTACTTGCCCAATCTGTAGCTGTTCTCAGCGGCCCATTCTCGACCAACTTCAGAAGCGCATCCGAGACGAAAACCTACCGCCGCGCCCTGCTCCCCGCGACGTCGACTGCCACCCCGTCTCGGGCACTCAAACGTTCGGCCGACGGCCCGCCTACCGCATCGCCAGCTGCCAAAAAAAACGAGAAAGACGGACGCAAAGGAGAAGGGCAACGGCAGGAAAGGAGACAAGCCTCGTCGAGGCCGCAAAGATCGCAACAAACACTTCGGCAGCCATCGAGAAGCAGGATTCAATCGCAAGCAAGAGGCCATCCCGTCCGTCTTGGCCCAGCAGACCCTGGTGCGCAGCCAGGCCGTCAGGGACCTATGGGCTGTCGGAGTGGACGCGTTCCTCGCGGGCACCAAGTCGCCAGGGGTCGAGGAGGCGCTCGAGTCAGGCCGCCAGTGCTCAGCCGCGGTCACGGAGCGGGGGCGCGGCCACTTGCTGGGTCCTCCGCACCTGCAGATCTTCGATGGGCTCGCGAGCGCACTCTTGAAGCGCGGGGGCGCGCTGGGGCAACTCGCCTTCGACGAGATCGCGAAGCGGTACGAGCAGTTCTACGCCAAGGCAGAGATGAAGGACCTGCGGTGCCAGATTCGGCTCTTTCGTCTCACCAAGTGCTACGACCAGAACAAGAAGAAGCTGTTCATCGCGATAGCCAACGTGGATCTGACGACGATGCTACCCGACGGCCCAAGCGCGCCTTCACTGCCTTCGGGCGCGCTTTTGCGCCGCCTACTGGGCCTCGCCCTCGCGCAGGCGGGAGCCAAGCGAGCAATCGGAGCCGCCCCCCCTTGGGCCATGGAGGAGATGATTCAGAACACCCTCGGAAATGAGTGATCGTGACACTGTGGTCGAGTTATTGCTTAGATGGATTTCCCCACACAGGTTGATTTCTACGCTGTGAAGGACTTCGACTCTGCTGATTATTTCGACACTGTGGTTGAGTTCGCCTTTGCGTTAGAGTTTGTGTTTTCGCGTGATTTCTCTACTGACCAAATCGTCTTGCTGCACTCAGGGGGGGCCTAAGTGCGGCCAAAATATTCTGCTTGATTGATCTCTATACTGTCACTGTTTCAACTCTTGGTGGTGGCACTGTGGTTGAGGTCTCTACTTCACTGTGAAGGGTTTCGACACACCTGTTGATTTCGACATACCCGTTGATTTTGCTATATCGATTGATTTCGCCATATCGGTAGATTTCTACATTGTGAATGATGTCGTCACTGTGGCTATCGCCTGCATCACCGACGCTGGGGACAATAAGTATGACAACTGCACCGTTGTGTGGTATGGATTCCGTGTCCTCGTCATCGGTCTGCTGTGGTACGTGTTCGTCTGCGCCTGGGTCATCCAGGCTTGAGGCTGCTTGCTGCCGCTGATGGTGCGCCCTCCCCTGTCTCCCCCTCGTCCCTCTCTGCAGTAGATCTTTGAGTGCGTTTGTTTTCCAGCCTGGGCGCTCGATAAGTCAGCGTGGTTGTCCCCAGGGCCTGTTCTCGGCCTGGTGGGGCCTACCTTGGTCCCTCCCAGTGCCTTCCTGGTTTTCTCCCAGCTTCGGCTGGAGGCCGAGTTTAAAGTACGTTTCAGGTTTCAGTTTTGTCTCGCGTTCCATATCTTGAGACTGCTGCGCAGTTTCGTTCCATGTTGGGCCGCCGTGCCACCGTCCCCGCGAGAAGACAGCTGAAATCTATAACTCTGCGCGCCTCCATGCCGCGTTATTATTAGACCCTCCATTCCTCCATCCCCCATCATCCTTCCTCCTTCCTTCCCTCCACCTCCTCCGCCTTTTCCCCCCAGAGCAGCGTTCCGGCGGTGGAGCAGAAGGGCGGTAGATCAGAAGTGCGCAAAGGAGACGCCGATCCCGCCGACGTCTCCGCTGCCGCTGTTGCCCACGACGCCGCCGCCGCCGCCGACGACGACGACGACGACGACGACTACGACAACGACGACGTCGCCGCCGCCGCCGACGACGACGACGACGACGACGCCGCCGCCGACGACGCCGACGCCGACGCCGACGCCGACGCCGACGACGCCGCCGACGCCGACGCCGCCGACGCCGACGACGACCACGACCATCGACGACGATCACCGACGACCACCGACGACCACCGACCCACAGGCCTCTGCCGGGGTGCTTTCCGGCCAGAACATCGAAGCGGATCCGGCCGTGACCGCGAGGGCGGGCACACCCCCCGCGGCCCGAGAAGGCCCGGAAGCCTCGAGCTCCTCGGGCGTCGATCAATCGATCGATCGACCCTCCGTCGGCGCCGACACCCTCCCGAGCGGCCGGCGAGGCCGCCCTGCGCGTCTGCTTCGAGGAGCTGCGGCTCTCGGACGCGGCCGCACTGCGCGTGTGGCCCCCGGCGGAGCGTGCGGGGCCGCCGCGAGCGGCCTTCGAGCTCGCCTGCGTCTCGGAGGTCGTCGGCGGCGCCGTCGTCGTCCACGTCGGCGCGCTCGGCGGCGTCGGCGTCGGCGCCGTCGTCGCCAGCGTCGGCTGCGTCGGCGCCGTCGCCGTCGTCGTCGTCGGCGGCCTTCCTCCCGTCCTCCTGCCCTCCCATTCCTGCCTCCCTCGTCCACGTTGCCCCGCCCTCCGTCCTCTTCCTCCGCCTCCTGCTCTTCCTCCTCTTCCTCCTCCTCCTCCTCCTCCTCCTCCTCCTCCTCCTCCCTCCCCCGCCCTCCTCTTCCTCCCCCCACCTTCTCCTCGCTCTTCCGCCTCCGCCCATCTCCTCCCTTCTCCTCGGCCCTCTCCCCCCTTTTGCTTCGTCGTCGTCCTCCTCGCGGGGCGTTTCGCATGAGACTTTCCTCACGTATGACCTTGACGCTTAAACATTGGCAGCAGTTTCACAGACGGAGGGCGGGTGGTTTTCAAAATGTGGCTCTCGCTTTCGCGCCGCGCACACTCGTCAGAAACATTTGCAATATCTTCACGGACTGAGGGAGGGTCGTTTTCAAAACGTGTTTCTCGCTTCAGCGCCGCGCGCACTCAGTTGAAATATTGACAAGAGCTTCACGGATTGAGGGCGGGCCATTTTCAAAATGCGGTTCTCGCTTCAGCGCCGCGCACATTCGTTCTAAAAGGTTGCAAGGGTTTCGCGAATTGAGGGCGGTTCCTTTTCGAAATGTGGCTCTCGCCTTAGCGCCGCGCAATTTCGACTTAGAATATTACAAGAGTTTCACGGATCCCCATGGCTAGCCATGATCTTTTGGACGAAGAGGAGAGGGAGAGGGGAAGAGGCACGATGATGATGATGATGATGATGATGATGATGATGATGATGATGATGATGATGATGATGATGATGATGATGATGATGATGATGATGATGATGATGAAGGGGAGCAGAATGAGGAGAAGAAGAAAGAGGAGAAGGATCAAAGGAAGAAGGAAGAGGAGGAGAAGGAGAAGGACGAGGAGAAGGAGCAGAAGGACAAATAGTTTCTCCGACCCAGCTCTCGTAGCAGAGCGAGTTCGGGCATCTAGATACTTCAGACTGATGATTCGATTGCGATCTCAGTGCCGAACAGCTCTGTAGCTCATCTGCAGCTCGAGAAAAAGTCAGCAACATTTCTTAAAAAATGGTAGAGTACGAATAGTTGTTTCAGACCCAACTCTGGAAGCAGAGCTAGTTCAGACATCTAGGTACTTGATACTAGCGTTTCTGCTTATGCTCTTTTCATTGTTATGCAGAACAGCTCTGTAGCTCATCTGCAGCTCGAGTTAATGCTGGTGACCTATCTGAGCATCTGCCAAGATGACACTAAACAGCCGATCCCGCCGGAGTGCTTTTTGACAGTAATATGCACCCGATCGATTGAGATTAAGATGGCGAGCGGGAATAAGATCGAACATAGGGGGAAAATATTAGAGTTCTAGTTCAGATTCCGAGAAATTAATCTTCAAATTGCCAAAATTATGCAACACTTCCGTTGAGATTTTTTGCCCAACCCTTAGCGCGCCAGAATGACTCTCTAGCTTCGCCGTTTTGCTCTTAGAAAAGCTCTACAAGTCACTCCCGTCGAGATTTTTTCGGCCAACCAGCCCCCCAGCGCGCTGGAATTACTCTCTTGTTTCGCCGTTTCGCTCTGACGGAAGCTCTACGAGCGATTCGCGATTGTCAGGGCGCAACAGTTACCCTGATTCGCGATGTGGAAGTCCCAGGAACGGCGTTCTGGCACGATTCATCAAGAACGTCAAGACGCACCAGACAACTCGATGAGCGGCGTTGAAATTCCAGAATTGGTGTTTGGGCACGCCTCAGGATCTTCAAACGTATGCCTCTCACCGGGGCATTTCCCTCAGTAGAACTGAATCCTTGCAGGGGTCCATGAAAAAGGTAACTTGGGGGGATGGCTTATTCCAGAGTCGTTCATGAGTCTTGGATTACACTGGTCCTCCTCCTTCTCCTCCTCCTCCTCCTCCTCCTCCTCCTCCTTCTCCTTCCTTTGGGAAGAAGGAAAGGTGGAAGCGGTTACAACGCTTTTGGCTAGGTGTTTGAGCGTTCGAGGGGGTTCCAATGTGGACGTCTTCATCATGCAGCGTCCTATTGGCGCTACTCTCCTCACTATCCTTCTCTGTGTCCTCCTCCTCCTCCTCCTCCTCCTCCTCCTCCTCCTCCTCCCCCGGCATTATGCTCATTCTCCTCCCCCTCTTTCTCCCCGTTCCTGTCCTGTTCCTTCCTTATTCCTTCTCCGTGTCGTTGCACGTCCATTTTTCTCGGCCTCCCTCTTCCTGCTTTCAACGCAGCAGGTTGCACCGCTTCAGCGTCCCGATCCTCCAAGGGTTCAAGAACGAGAGGTCATTCGCACACCTTCGAATCGTAAACGCCAGTCAGATTTGAATTCCGCGTGCAACTCATCAAGAAGTAAGCGGTGTCACGTCATCCAGACTGGCACGAACGAAGAATCACGGCGGTCTTCGGAATACAATCAGGGAGTTGGTCGCTTTGGCTCTCGTGCGGCCGAGCATGCCAGCCCTTCGTGTGTGTATCCATCGCGTGGCCTCATGATCCACATGTCAATCCAGCCGTATGTGTATAGTGTGTACATTTGGTTCGGTACTCACCAGGCCGCCGCGGACGCTAAAAGTGTGAGCGTGTGTCTCTGTGTGTGATTGTGTGTGCACGCGCGTTTGCGTGGGACTGAGTCTCCGATGCGTTCCAGCTGCATGGCAGAAGTTGGCATGGACCGACATAAACCCTTCGATTGGTTCCCGTCGCGGGCCTCTACCACCCTACGCTTACGGCCGCGACGAATCCGTGAGCATTGCAATCCAAGCAATACGTGTGTGCATGACGTGACGGTGACTGGGGCGAGGGCGCAGGTTGTGGACCACTCTCGGGGGCAAAGTCAGGCAGCTCTGCGACCATGCCAGTTGGTGCAGCGTTTTGTTGGACCCGCCATGTCCCTGTGCCAGTCGTGGCCCGCGCCCCCCTTCCCAAGTGGACTCAGAGGCCCCCCTGGTGGACCCTCCGACGGCGCTCTCGCGGTGTGCAGGGGCGGGAGGAGGCCCTCGCGGATTCGGCGTTGGAGCCCCACGCCCCCAAGCAGCTCCAAGGGACTTTTGTCTCCCTTTCCGGAAAATTTGGGCTGCGAGTCCAATTCGACGGCGAGCGAGGGCTGGGGAAGTGAGAAGGAGAAGGCCTTCTCAGAAGGCGGCGGGGCTTCTCAGAGGCCCTCGCGCCTTCTCAGAAGTTTTCTTCGTCTTCGGGGAAGGTTCAGGAAACTTCCCAGAAGGCCGGGGGACTTCCGAGCCTTCTGAGAAGGCCCGCCCCTTCTCACTCCCCCCCGGGCCCGCCGCCGACCAATGGCGATGGAATGGTTTCGAGGGCTGCCAGGTCGATTCCACGGTGCTTGCCTGGGTCTACGTCGGAGCATCGTCTCGAGAGGTGTTTGGTTGGCCCTCCTCCTCCTCCTTCTCCTCCTCCTCCTCCTCTCCTTCCTCCCTCCTCGTCCTGCCAACGACGAGCCGTCATTCTCGAGTCCTCCCTCCTTACTCATCCTCCTCTCTCCTCCCCTCCCCTCCTCCCTCCTTCTCCCTCCTTCCCCTCCTCCCTCTCGTCGTTACGTTCTCACCCTCCCTCATGCTCCTCCCCCGTCCTCTCTCCTCTATCCTCCTCCTCCTCCCCTCCCTGCTCTTCCCGACGACGCCGGAGGTCCGCATCTCCTCCTGCCCGCAGCTGACCTGGCTGCCCCTCGGGGTCTGCGCCATGCACACCATGAAGGCCCCACGTCCGGCGGCAGCAGGTCGGAGAAACGGAGGAGCAGCAGCAGCAGCAGCAGCAGCAGCAGCAGCAGCAGCAGCAGCAGCAGCAGCAGCTGCAGCAGCAGCAGCACGAGGACCAAGTTACCGTACGCAAGCAGTTTCCCGCACGATCCGTTCTCCTTGAAGAGGCATTCAATTGCCCAGACAGCGCGCTTTTGGCTTTCCCACTCAGCACTTCGGGTATAGAACACGCTTCCACTTCGTCATGTCCATCTTCGCTGATGATCACAAGATCTCGGACCTCATCGCCAAGACGCCTGACGGTCGGTTCTCCTTCGAGTACTTCCCGCCGAAGACGGCCGAGGGCGTCGCGAATCTGAAGAAGAGAATTGTGCGCATGAAGGGGCTTGGCCCAATGTTCACGGACTTCACTTGGGGCGCCGGTGGATCCACCTCAGAGCTCATTGCAGCTGACCAGCGCCGCCACAAACGAGGTCGGGTGTGTCGCCAACATGCACCTCACCTGCACGAGCCAGAAGGTCGAGATGGCGGGCGACGCTCTGGCCGACTGCAGCAAGGTGGGCGTCCGCAACATCGTGGCGCTGCGGGGCGATCCCACCCCGCGGCCAGGAGCAGCGGACCGCCACCGAGGGCGGCTTCAACTGTGCGCTGGCCCTCGTGAAGTACATGCGCGAGAAGCACGGCGACTACCTCTGCGTCTCGGTGGCCGGCTACCCCGAGGGGCACCCCGATGCCATCTCCGTCGTGGAGGGCGGCCTTGCGGCGCTGCCTCCCGACGAGCAGCGCCGCGCCCGGGTGGCCCCCGACGGCGTCGTGACCGTGTGCCGCGACGCGGAGTTCGAGAGGGAGATGGCCTACCTCAAGGAGAAGTGTTACGCAGGCGCAGATTTCATCATCACCCAGATGTTCCTGGACGTTCCGGTCTACGTGGACTTCGTCAAGGCTTGACTGGACCGTGGCATCACAGTGCCGGTGGTGCCGGGCATCATGTGCCTCAACACGTTCGGCGGCCTGGAGCGATGACGGCCCTCTGCAGGACGCGCCTCCCTGACGGCCTCTATGAGGTGGCCAAGGCTGCGAACACATCCGACGACGCTCTCGAGGTGTGGGGGATCGAGCAGGGCGTCAGGATGTGCAACCGCCTGCCTCGCCGGGGGCGCGCCTGGCCCGCACTTCTACACCCTGAACCTCGAGAAGGTCGTGGTGGGCACCCCGGTTGGCCTGGGCCTCGTCACAGAGGAGCAGGCGAAGTGCTGCACTGCGGGCGACGCGGACGCCAAGTTCATGGTCTCTGCGCAGGGCATCACGGCCAGCACCGCGATGCCGCAGCGGCCAGGCAACAGCCCCCTCGCCCAAGCAGACCCCATGATGGACGCGCTCTTCAAGGAGGAGGAGGAGGAGGAGGAGGAGGAGGAGGAGGAGGCCCGCCAGATGAACTCCATCGAGCTGATCGCCTCCCCCGAGCCAGAGGATGACAGATTGGACCGCTCCACCGTCACTGGCCGCGAAGCCGTGCCGACCCCTACACGGGCCAAGAAAAAGCGGTCGGGCCGTCGCAAGCATAAGGCCAGGGCATCGTCGGCCTCGGAGGCGTTAGAGGTGAGGACGGCGCCGAGCCCTGCCGTGGAATCGGGGTTGCCGCTGTCGGAAGTCGTGACGGAGCCGCTGGCCGAGGATGCGGAGGAAGTGTGGGAGGTGCCGGGGGCGCGGGGGTCATGTCGGAGTCTTTGGTCGATGAGGCGGAGGGCGCAGAGGGTGGCCAGGAGCGGGCACTCCTCCGCCAGAGTTTGGATTTGCAGCCCTGCAACCCGCACCTGGTTGGCCCAATTCTGGACTGCCTAGTCGAGGAGGCTGAAGCGGGCTTGTCGGAGGCCGATTGGTGGTTCATGACCGCGGAGGATCTCGGCACCGACCCCATCACAGGCCTGCCCTTGGGGGGCTCGGTGACGACCTGCTAATTGGCCGCGCCCTTCTGTCTCTTCCCTCCTCCCTCCCCCGTCTTCCTCCTTCCCTGGCCTTGCATCCAGGGGGGCCCAGCTCGCCTCTGCTGGCTCGCCGTCACTACAGGCCGCTTTCTTGCCGCCGCTAATGGCCACGGGTTTAGGGGCCGGTGTCTGGGCGCCGCCCGTAATTCAAAGCACGTCTGACGCAAGTGTTGCCGCACCTCGTTGCCGCCGGAGTGCGTATCTGGTCGCTGCCTGGTCGCTGCCGCGCCTCCAGCTTGACCGAGGTCTCTTAAGGCACCTTGGGGCTGATGTCGTCGTTGGCTTGGCTGCATTCAACATACTTCCTGATCCTGGGCCCTGGCCTGTCGCCGCACCGTCCTTTGCAGTTACGAGTGGTTGCGATCTTCGGATTAGTTGTTTCTAATCTTCTACAAGTTTCTGCTCCACTATTGTCTGCTCCCCGGGTGCTTCCTCCTCGCCTCTGTGTTCCTTGACCCCTGTAGGGATGCCGCCAAGATGCGTCGTCGCCAATGACAGTCACTTGGTCAGAATGCCCGGGCACACTAGGTTGTGATCTGCAGGCTCCTCTTTGCAGTTGTGGCAGCATCTGACAGTTGCATTGCTGTGGGAACCAGCATCATTGGTAGGGGGAGATCTGTCCTTCCGGCGTGTGGTACAGGCACTGTGCTCGCATGGGCAGGCAATCGCAATCGACGGTAAATTGAGTAATGGTTGGCGCTGTTTCATTCAAAGGCCCCCCTGAGGAGATGCGGACTCATCTCGATCTCAACCCTTCGTTCCGTGAGAGTGGAGAACAACACAACAACAAAAACACGAGGAGCAGGAGACGGAGGGATGGGGCGAGGAGGAGGAGGAGGAGGAGGAGGAGGAGGAGGAAAATGAGGAGGACGAGGAGGAGGAGGAGGAGAGGAGGAGGAGAAGGGAGAGGAGGATGGATGAGGAGGAGGAGGAGGAGGACGAGGGGGAGGGGGAGGGGGAGGGCGATGAGGAGGAGGTCGCGGTGGAGGAGGAGAGAGCAAGGAGGAAGGAGGCGGAGGTGGAGGAGGAGAATGAGGAGGAGAATGAGGAGGAGGATGAGGATGAGGAGGAGGAGGAGGAGGAGGAGGAGGAGGAGGAGGAGGAGGAGGACGAGGGGGAGGGGGAGGGGGAGGGCGAGGAGGAGGAGGTCGCGGTGGAGGAGGAGGTCGCGCTGGAGGAAGGAGGAGGAGGAGGTGGAGGAGGAAGGAGCAGGAATAGGAGGGAGGGAGGATCCCTTTCTTGCTTGGGGTGTTCGAGGCAGAGACTCGCGCTCCCACGGAGAGTCAGAATATGAACGAGGGAGGGAGGGGGGAGCGAGGGATGCGGAGGAAGAAAAGACACCATATTAACTCCAAGATGCATCAACGATGCTTCGATACACTCTCCCGTCCCACCTCATAAGTTCCAACAAGTCTTACTTTCCACTACGGGAAGCGCCCCCTTGGACAGACGGACGCCCCGTGGGCGTGCCATTTCAGCGAGACCCCGTTTCGTAGGGGACCCGCATTCCATCCTTCCAGCTGTGAGACATGCAATGTGATAGGGTCGTGCATGTCAAGGAGGTATCCAGCGAAAGCTCCGTTCTGGAAAGGGTATGCCTTTGAGGCGTGCAAGCGTTATGCAACTTCAAAGCTCGTGTCAGAACGCCAGACAGAATCGTAAGCGAGAGCCCTACTATAAAAAAGAAGCCGGCCTCCATCCGCGTAATAGTGGCACGTTTTTCTTATGTTCGGACCAGACAGTGTCAAGAGTTCCCATGCGCCATTAGCGCCATGCTGACAGCAAGCTGCTCTCCATCCGTGTGACTGTTCCAGGTGTCGGCGACGAATATGCGCGGCGCCAACACGAGAGCCAGCAGCCTGCGCTACATCCTTGCAGCAGCTGCCTGGTGCTTATGACGAGGACGCGCGACACCGAGGCGAGATCCCCACCTGACCAGAATTAGACACATGCAGAACCCCACCCATGGGATGTTTGGGAATTTTCGTATGCTTTGCACGCCTGCCCTCTCCTCCTCCTTCTCCTCCTCGTCCTCCTCCTCCTCCTCCTCTTTCTGTCTCTTTATTTCTAATGTATCTTGCATAACATAGAAGTCGTCTCTGTTTGCTTGATGTGCCCTCGCACCTCGCTCTGCTCTCGAGCATGCCAGACCTACTCTCAACTATACGTACGTACATGCTATCTACATATGGATTCATTGTTTTTACGTGCCTCTATCTCTCTTTTTTCTCCTTCTCTCTCTATATCTCCCTGTCTCCATGCATTTTTCTCTATGGAAAACTCACCCTGTGCTCTCTGATACGTACTCTCTCTCTCTCTCTCTCTCTTTCTCTCTCTTTATTTACTATGTACTCTTCCACCCTGACCTCCTTATCCACATTACAACATTACAAAGAAGTGGTCGCAATTTTTTTTTTTCTCTCTCTCTCTCTCTCTCTCTCTTTCCAAGCCCTCTGGCCAACTCTGGTCGCAACTCTCCGACCCTTGTATTCTTCACGATCAAAGACCCAGGCGCTTGGCCACAACCAAGACATACCTTAAGCTGCCAAGAATCCAGAAACGGGAACTGAGAAGCCCGAGACCCACCAAACTTCTCATATCCGGGGACCCTAGAATCGGGAACCGGAAACCTTGGAAGCCAGCCTTCCACCGAATTGGGAACCCGGGAACTCAGCGAAGCTTACATTGCCAGAAACCCCGCATCCTTGGAAGACGAAGCCGCGTGGCTATTCTAGGGCCCTTTAGGTGCGGAACTGTTAACGATTCTCACATGTCTGGTTGCGTTTATGTGTTTATTCTTCGTGTCACGCGCACCATATACTGTTTCAATGTCCAAAGGGGCTTATGAAGAACATGTTGTACAAGTAGTACATGTTAGACACGTTTAGACATGTTCAGCCACGATATTAAACATGCTTAGCTACGAATAGCAACACCATAGACGCGGCTTGGATTCTAGTCACGCTTAGCCACCTTTAGCCATGTTTCGCCATGGGCATCAATGCGCGTTGTG